ACCCTATAAACTATATATATTCTTGATCAGGATCACTAGCCGAGTCGATCTAGCTATGTCCGTCTGTCCGTCTGTCTGTCCGTCTGTCCGTCTGTCTGTCTGTCTGTCTGTATGAACGCTGAGATCTCGGAAACTATAAAAGCTAGAAGATTGACATTTTGCATGCAGATTCTAGGAGTTCCTACGCAGCGCAAGTTTGTTTCAAAAGGGTGCCACGCCCCCTCTAACGCGCACAATCGCTTATATACGATTTTAAAAATTTCAATATTTCGAAAAAGTAAAAATGCAGTTTTATTGTGTTTATGAATACCTATCGAAATGTAGAAGAAATTTTTTAAATCGGACCATTCGTTAAAAAGTTACGGCGGATCAAAGTTTTTATCTCCATCTTCTTCGCACTCCCTTTAGCTGAGTAACGGGTATCTGATAGTCGGGGCACCCGACTATAGCGTTCTCTCTTGTTTACTTTTAAATAGTTTCAAAATATAACATACTATTTACTAACGTTGCCATGATTTTTGTCAGGAATTTCATAAAATGGTTGGTATATTTGTATAATGCGATTTTTATGAAGGGAATTTATTATAATCTCATAATTCAATGCTAACATTTAAGTTTTTATGATATGTTTTGACTAAGGGCTAGAACTCAACCCAACAAAAAGTCGTCCAAAACAAAAAACTTCATATGAAACAAATTTTTTTGACGCTATTTTCATATGAAGTTTTTTGTTTTGGACGACATTTTGTTGGGTTGAATACTAGCCCTAAAGGATTTCTATCATGATTTCTATGATATGATATGATATGATATGATTTCTTCCAAGTGCTGGGCACCATTCCAAAACTCATTCTCCGTCCGCCGGTTTATCCGTCCGTCAAGCATCTGGCACCTGCAGACTCGGAACTCAAAAAGCGAGATCCGCTCAACTCAACGACTGCGATAGATATTTGCATACATTTGCCAACTTTTATTCTCTCGCATTCACTGAAACTACTCAGCCATGGATCTCCGCAAAAAATACTTTTCCATTTCTTTTCCCTTCTACTGCTACTTTTTTCTTCGGCCTCCGGATGAAAACGAGGGGGCGGGCCACAACTTTCGCTGCAGTTAGCGGCGACTCAGCTCTTTGTGAGTGAATTTAATTAAATTTATGAAAAATTTACATATTTATTGGTTTAAATGGCCAAAAACTGTTCGTTGCCCACACGCATACACAGTTTCAGACGAGACTGCATGACAAAAATTGTGATTAATTAGAATATTTCGGTGCGTATTTTCTTTCGCAATTTGTATGTGGCTTTGCATCTGGATCAATATTTGTAATATCGTTTTAAAGTGTTTCATAATATACGCATAAACTTATTCAAGAAACATAAAATGAAAATGATTGAAGTTGCAAGTAGTTTGCTTTATATTTATGAAACGTACTGCGTGCAAGGGCTTGAAAGTGTGTGACTGAATATTCATAAAAAAGGAAAAACAAAACTTTCTGTCACAGTAAGTGTGTGGAGGCTGGAATGAAAACCCATTCATTCCCACTCTCAGGGAAATAGTTTTTGGGAGCCAACGAAAAATGCACATAATTCTACCGAAAACGAAATGGAAATTCAACGAGTCCAAAAACATCCATGAGTGTATTCATTTAATATTCAGAGAAACTAAAACTTGTTCAGATATTTACATGTAATCTTGATTACTGGTTTGGGAGAATCATCAAGCTGAATACTTTCTCCTCCATCCGAAAAGTGGCTTTTCATAAATGGATTATAACATATGTATGTATTAAAATAAAGGGAAATATTCTCCCAGAATTGCAGTAAAATATTGTTGGTATAATTCCAAACGGAAAAAAATATATTTTGTCAGACTAATCCCTATTTTAATTGAAGTTTTCATCCGTGTATTAGAACAAAACAAAAAAAGGGAAATCAAATCGCTTAAAATTCCATGAAATAACAAACAGAAACGTAAATTAATTCAAGTTATATTGACATTTCAACTAAAATTAAAAGTTCGTTTGATATGCCATATATGTATATACACAGATAACAATTTCATTGGTTGAATAACCAAGTTTGACTGTAAAATTTGTTGCTTTTACAAAGCAACATACTTATATATAAGTATTGTATTTTAATTAACATATTTAAATCCTTTTTTATTATTAAATATTTTATTTAATTTTTTTTTATTTTTTAAAAGCTTAAAAAAGATTTTTACTTTTTTTCATCCAGAAATTGTCAAAAGACTTAATATGTGTGGGAAATTTCAACCTTCTAGCTTTTGTAGTTTCCGAGATCTCAGCGTAAATATAAGGGTATTCTGTTTCTATTTTGGTAAGTTATAATTTTTGCTTTTAATGTGATTAGTATTCAAATAACTGGTTTCTCTTTCTTAGTAAGTTTGCCGCTATAATGCTGCCAAGAATCTAGATTTGAAACGAGACAATTGCCCTTCACTTGTGCATACAGACACGATGAAGCCAATTAAGTGTAAAACACAGAAAAAATGTATTTATGGACCAGTCCAATAGAAATAACTGTATTTGAATTCCGAATTTTAATCATAAAAATTTGACAAGTGCAAAATAATACTTTCGCAAAGTAGAAGAGTAATACCGCAAAAGAAGAGTAATGCACTTCCGAAAGCTTCACACGGATTCGAATTTCCGAGACTTGTTCCACGTCTCACTTCCGATAGGTTCTTGCATTCTTAAATACGGAAAAATTATCAGAACAATTTGTAAGCTATATTATGTTCCAAGTGTTGTGGTAAAAATAATTGCACTGCGTTTAAAAATTAAACCGTTTATTATAATAAAGTATACTTTCTTCGCCTTTAATCTATAAACGCGAACTGCGCCAAATACGGTCTAGCGTTAAAGCGCAAATGAGATTTTTTTTAGTTTATTAAAACCAATTGTTTAGGTCTAACGATCTCTAAAGAAGTTATGAGCAAATAAGGCAATCGCCGCTAGATGGCGTGCGTTCAAAACGTCGCTTTGGTGCTTGCATATCTCCACCTTTTTCTTATCTTGTTCAATGACTCGATGTTTTTTTAAACCTAAAAATTATTTTTTAGAGAGACCTTTAAACTTAAACTTACCATATAAAAGCAGAAATTCCTATAAGAATCGACAAGAATTAAGAACTACTAATTTCGGTGGGAAAATCTCAGTTGAATTCCAATTCTTTTTAAATGGTTGTTTCCTAATGGTTCTTAAAATTGTTTGGTATAAAGCGATGTGACTTGGATTTTATTGTTTTCCAGGGAGGGGTTCCATACAAGAGTACCAGGTAAGTACCTGATACAGTAATCTGAGATTAGCATTTGATTAGTATGCAAACGTGGCCCACAATCGAGAAGACCGAGAACTTGTTCAGTTGGCTGCGGCGACCGTTTGGGCAGATTGGTCGTCATGCATATGGATGGCGAGCATAATGGGATGGCCAATATGCATAATTCGAAATCGGCCCCAGTCGCCACCACATCCACAGACACATTGTTTCGCCCGCGGGCTCATTGAAATGCGCACGCATGCGCAGACTTCTCCGCTTCCCAAAACCGGCTTTTGTTTCGTTTTCAAATTCACTCGATTCCACTCGACTGAGTCGAGTTGAATCATCCCACAACCAGTTCAAACGAAAGTGAATTGAGATTGTTTGCTGAGCGAACGAACAATTGAGCCTACGATCCATCGTTAAGGGGACCGCACCTAGTACTCAGATATCAGGGTTGGTCATTTGCCGAGACTCAGTACAGAAATCAGACTTGAACCGAAAGAAAATTTATGTTTGTCATGCCACTTTTGTGGTAATTTGAAAATTGGTATTTAAGGACTTGAATATTAAATAGTCAAAATTACACACTTAGCGTTATAAAACACAACGAAAACGTTTAAATCCCTTGCGGATTTTACTAATTAAATAGCGTTTAAAATTATATAAATTCAAAACAATCAACAACAAAATATAAGCAAATTTCTTGAAAAACAAAACATTTTATACTTCTTCATTGTATTCATAAACAGGACATATTCGGTCAGATTTTTCGTCTGATCAGGCTATAATTAAATAAGCACGGCTTGTAAGATTCATGTTGTTAGTTTATAATCTTCAACATTTTTTCTAAAGCTGGAAAAGTTGAATTATCAGCTGATTGACAAGTCCTTTTACCCTAAAGCAAAGTTTCAAGGCTATACTTTTTACACTTTACAAAATATCTTCGGAAAGTTTCAAATCCTCTATATTTTTAACTGACCTTGTAAACGGTTTTGAAAATGTGTATTTTGAATTAAGCGTGCCCCTCTTGAATTTATCAATTATTTTCAGGTCTTGGAATCTATTTAAACGAATAAGGTCGTATTATTGATTAAATGAGTCCAACATCGGATCATCAAAAGTCGGTATAGGTGTGGGCGTAAAATGGGGGATTTAAATTTGAAATTGGTGGCATACCCGATTTCATTAGCATTTTTTCTTGATTTATAATCCTCTATTTGCTCAAAACTCCGGCATTCATAAAGCATTTAATCAGAAAGCATTTACCCTTTGTTTGTTTGTCCGCCCTTTTAGCAACAGGCAAAACGGGCTCATAGTCATTAGAACTTAAAGAAACAGGGAAAATCAATAATATTTGTGGGTCAGAACTCAATTCAAATATCGAAACCCCTTTTCTCACCAGGGCTCGCTGGAATAAGTCAAGAACAATCTTGCATTACGAATTTCAAAGAACTTTTCGAACAGTTCCGACAAATTTGTTTAGTTCATGTCGAAAATATATTTAACATCCGGTAGTATTTATCGATCTGCCGCCGTTTATTTGTTGCAACCCTTTTCGGATTCATTTCGTTTCGAGTCTTGCTTTTTCTCGAATCTTTTTTCCAGCGGATCGGAGCCGCTGAGCCAGCTGAGTCGGCCACAATCGATCGAGTGGTTTTGGCCCCGAGAGTTGGAGTTGGTCGAGAGTGGCGTCGCGTTGGCTTCTTGCAATTTCTCGGGCGCGGGTCTCGTTCAGTTGTCGGTTTGCACTTGCGCGTTGCGGACGTCTCGCCCGCCCCGATCTCCCTATCTCTCGCACACACTCTCCTATATCTCGTTCCGGAATCGGGATATACATATAGCTGATCCGTACACGTAGCCAGAACCAAGATGTTGCGGCTTTCTCTGGTGGCCGTGCTGCTGGCTGTTGCTGGTGTCAATGGTAAGTTTCCAGCCAAACGACGAACGATCACCAGAAGTACATATAGTTTCCGCATTCACCATCTATAAGTAAAAGAGCAACAGATGTTTTTTTTGCAATTTTTGTTACTGTGCTTCGTGCGAGTGAAAGAAATCAGAGAGCCCACAGAGCTGGATAGCCTCTTCCTGAGTATTGGCCCATGGGTCTGAGTGCTCGAATACAAGAAACTGACTACTTAAAGCTGGCAGCTTCGCTTCCTGTTTGAATTAGGTAACACCACCAGCGGTTTTCCCAACAGGTTTTCACCCTGACGGCCCGCAAGGTCAGCTGTCCTGTCGGGAAAACTGGTTGGCGGGACATCCAGTTCGCGGCGACCACACTCTTCCCAGTTGCGTAATAAAAAATCTGCCAACCGACAGCCGACAACTGCCGAACTGACCTCCAACTTGATTAGCGGCAACTTTTGCAGCTCTCGCTTGGCTAGTCGCTCATGCTAATTAGCAACTCAGCCAGAAAGCCTGCATTCGGCATACATTTACATACACAGCAAGAAAATGCCCGAACGTAGTAAATTTACTTTGTTTTTGGGTAAAATAAATAGGTTGAAAGATGTAAAACAAAAAGTGAAAAAGTGCTTTAGAGTAATGTTAATTGCATGAAATATTTATTGGAAAAAAGTTCGCCACTTCGGAATTGTATACCAGACCAGAAAGATAAATTTGAAGTGCCAAGATATGACACATTTCTTTCTGTGCACCTCATGAACTTCATAAATATGCAAATCCTGCCCAGTCTTTTCTGCACAGATTTCATGGTCAACTTTTGCTTTCGTTTCTTGCTCACGTACTTTTATTTACATATTTCTTTTCTATAGGACTACATTTTTCAAGCATCGTTGCAGCATCACGATCATTCGTAAAGTTTCGTCTTTCGACTCCGACTTCGATTTCGATTTCACTTTCATTTGTGCTTAACGGTAGGCGAATAACTTGTTTCGAAAACAGTGCACATTTCAGTGCATTATGTAAACGCAGATGTAAAATGTAAGAAACAAACCGTAAAAATAACGGAAATTGGAAATGCCAATCGATTTTATTTTTGTACTTTTTGGGAGCTTGGAGCAGATGCTGAGCTTTATTTATGCAACTTGATTGTGACATTGATTTTACTTTTGCCTTTTATTTGTTGGTCATCGCCGAGCGCGTTGCATAATTGGTTTTGCTGTGTGATGAAAAATCTGCCAAAAAGTTGTACAAGAAAGCAAAAACAAAATACTTTCATTTCATCAGCGCGCCGTTGCACAAGTGGAAAAATATATATTAACGGACTTTTGTGCAACGTTTTTTCCTGCTTTTGGGGAATCGTTTGAAAAGAAATGCTTACAACATAATGAAAGTGTTTTAATACAGGAGGCGATTTTGTTTATAACGTTTTTCATGGGATGCACAGATGTTGAATGAATGGATTATTTGTTTGCCGCGTTGCTTGTTTTTCTTAAATATTAGTATTTACCTTGTGCGCACTTATGACCAGTCTTTCAGATATTGACCGCAAGCACAGTGCTTACTCTGATTTCCATCAAAATCACCTAAGTATTTGCTTTATTATTCCGAAAAAATATATAGCCTGCAAGCAGCTAAATCCGTTTTGACAAATGCAGCATTGATTTAGTGAAAAGGCCAAATGTCGGTATTCTAAAAATAAGTAAATTGGGAGAATGAGGAATACATACATCAGCCTCAAGTGAGACACATTCACTTCATTTGAGCCATCTTTCTTTGGTAAAATAAAAAAAGTGCTGGTAATTTATTTATTTTTTTATGCCGCTCACTTAAAGAAGACGAAATCAACATAATTTAAAAATACATTAAAACGAATGGTTGAGGGTGGAAAATACGGTGGAAGGGAGGGAAGGAAATGGAGTAGGGGGAAGCATCAAGCACATGAGCCATTTAAACGCAAATTTGTTCACAAAGGCAAGTGGCTTTGGCCATTACACACTCGAAAACTGAACACTGGGGTTTTCCACTCGGCCGTCTCTTTCGCCTGTCACAGTTGCCGTCTCTTTCGTTAACCAAATCAGCATTATTTACAATTTAAGTGTTGTAAATGCAGAAAAGCAGCAACTGAAACACACGAACACAGCGCGAAAAAATGGCAAATGTTGCAAAAGGAAGCGACAAAAACATTTAAGCAGCTTAACACTCACACACATAACAGACACAAACACACACAGACACAGACGCATGGACAGGCGTGAAAAATGAGGCGCAAAGCAGCCACAGAAATGCGTGAAAAATTACTTGAAAATACCAACGGATAAACAACAGCAAACAACAACTGAAACGTTTTACCAAATAAAAGAAACAAAAACAGTTGCACAAGAAAGGGATAACTATAGGGCGGCGATGAATGTAAAATGTGTTAAGTGAATATCTGTACATAAACAACTGGATGGAAATGTGTCAGCGAAAAGAAAGCTCGTTTTAAACTCCACTTTCTGGACCAAAAACAATTAATACCCCGAAAGAAAAAGAGTCCTGGGACTTTTTTGTACACGATAAGCTTCGACAATGCGACCAAATGAAAAATATATATTAAACTATTGAGAAAACATAAGGCCAATGCTTATAAATTGAAAATAAAGATTACCTAAAAAAAAAAGAAACAGAGCACAGATTACCACATCTTTGACCTTTAAAACAATAAGAATAATACAAAAGGCATTTAATTCGTCAACCTAATTTTCCAGCGCATTTGTTGAAAAAATCTTAAAAATAAAGATGCTATTTCACGTTGATTTAACGACATTCTGTACAAAAATTGAATTTAATTTGCCAACTGTTCGATATTCACCATTCTTGCTTTAAGCTTTTGTACAAATGTTATATAAATTATGGTCAGAGAAAAATCACAAAGCAACAAAAATGCGAAGGAAAACTTCAACACAAAAAAATCAGAGCAAAATAAAACAAGAAAACGAAAACTTATTGCATGATGTGCATAAAATAAAGACTTTTCCAGCTCTTCACCAGGTTTTCCCCGTTTTTTGTTCTTCAATTTTATTTATTTTCTCGGGCACATTTAATTTTCCCAGAGCGAGACACAGGCAGCACTGAGACCGAGGGAGAGGGAAATGTATCCTTTTGAACGTTACGGTTCTCGGCTTATTTTTAATTATTATTTTCCGCATTGGCAATTTCTTAATTAAGGGCAAAGAACAAAAAACGGTTTCCATGTAATTGGCCTTATGACTTTTAAATAAATGTGCAATAAATTTATTATTACTATTATTTTTCGTCTTTTTATTGTCGTCATGGCTGTAAAAAGTCAAAATGATTGATATTGGTTGAATTTTATTGGGTGGAAAACTTCTTTAAAGGTCCTTAAACGGGACAATGAAAAAACCATTTTCGATATTTCGCTAAAAAATTTAGGCCTTTATTTAATATACATGTATAACTGATAACAAAATCAGGTCAGTAGTATCTATCCTTTTTTATTTTGTAAGTTTAGTTTTACTGAATAGTATAGAACAGTTCCCGCTGTTAAGGGCCATCTACTGCATGTAGTTTCAACCTGGCCAACTTTTAAGTAGCTCCCCCAGGAGAGTTGACTAGTTCCATTCAAGAATTCAAGAATCCCCTCTACTTCAGCTCAACTATCAGTGGTGGAGGGGAGAAAAGAGACAGGGGGAAAGGGGAATATTAAGCCGCTTAGAGGACGTCGCCTCATTAGCCATGACTTTTGGTCTCCTGCCAAGGACTCGCCAGTGTTTATGGACATGGAGGTTGTCCTGGACTCGGTTAATAAATATTAATTAGCCATAATAATTATATGAAAATGTTTCTCGCCACACTTTCCCCCTGGCCTACTATTTTTGATATTTTTTAGCGCAACATTTTCATTTGATTTAAATCTGGTATTGCTTTGTTATTGTTTATTTTACACATTCCATTTAAATTAACTGCCAATTTTGTTGCTTTTTCCGCCACATTGTGGCCGCTGCTGTTGTTGGCTAAATATACACATAAATAACCATAAATTGACCAAGCACCAACACACTCAAATATTTTAGCAAAATATTCCCTGATTTTTTATTGATTGCTTTTGTTTGACAAAACTTTAAGTGGTCCCTTTTAAAGTTAGTGCCTTATTGATAATCGCTAAATTTATATAAAAATACAAATAATGTATTTATGCCAACAATAAACTGCGAGTACCTATATAAAAATGCAACATTAAATGGCAAAAGTTAGCAAAGGTTGGGAAGAAGGTGCAGTTTTTTTCTGACCAACCCAATAACAAATATTCCCACAGAGTTTTAAGTTGCACTTTGGCTTCGGCACCGAAAGTTCACAGGGCTTAAATGCGAATCTGAAGAATCGTCTATCGTGTTAGTCAGTCAAAATATATTAGAAATAAATACATATTTTCTATTGTATTGCTACATTAAATTTGCTTCTGGTTAACGCGGGTTCAAAGAAATAAAATGACTCAAATCAATCAGTTATACGTATATATTTGCAATCCGTGTTCACTGTTCATATAACAAATTAACAGAATACATTTACACAAAATAAAAAAAGCCAAATCAAATTATGAAAACAAATTTGCTCAAGACTATTTCCCAAACCGAGTGTCTCTCGAAAAAATGTCTTCCGCATGGCATTTCATGAATTTTAATGAACTTTGCGGCTTGAATAATAGCAAAAAATCCATGGTTTTATGAATATCTTTTGTGTTTGAACTTAAAGTCAGCGTTCGGTGAGACAATTCTAGTTTGTCCTTCACAAAACCTTTATCAATTTTAGCTAGTTCTAGTTTGTTTCCCGTCATTTCTTAAAATACTTTGCAAAATTACAATTAAAACTAAGAGGCTCTTTGAACGGGTCTCAATTCCTCTAAACTTAATGGAAAGTACCTTGTCGAAAGCGTCTTTGGTGGGCTGAAACAAGTTTGTATGCAAAACAGGTTTATTTTTATACCCTTGCAGAGGGTATTATGATTTCAGTCAGAAGTTTGCAACGCAGTGAAGGAGACGTTTCCGAACCCATAAAGTATATATATTCTTGATCAGCATCACAAGACGAGTCGATCTAGCCATGTCCGTCTGTCCGTCTGTCCGTCTGTCCGTCCGTCTGTCCGTCCGTCTGTCCGTCTGTCCGTCTGTCTGTTTCTACGCAAACTAGTCTCTCAGTTTTTGAGCTATCAGGATGAAACTTTCCCAAAAGTCTTCTTTCTATTGCAGGTAGTATATATGTCGGAACCAACCGGATCGGACAACTATATCTTATAGCTCCCATAGGAAGGATCGGAAAAGAAAACGTTAAAAAAATTCTAGCTTCGGTGTTTTTTGAAATATTACCTTCTACTTTTGGGGATGTTATTTTTTAAATATTTCTGAATTTCGAATTAAATATTTAAAAAATCGGACTACTATATCATATAGCTGCCATAGGAACGATCGGTAAATTAATGGAAAAGTAATAGGAAATAAATTCTAGCTTCTTTGGTTTTTATTGTATTATCTTCTACTCTAGGATATGACTCTTTTTAAATATTTCCGAATTTCAATTTTAATTTGATCAAAATCGGACGACTATAGCTGCCATAGGAACGGTCGGAAAATTAATGAGAAATATTAGAAAATTAAACATTTTTGCGATTTGTTAATTAATAGGCATGATCTGCAAGGGTATATAAGCTTCGGCTGGCCGAAGCTAGCTTCCTTTCTTGTTTTCATTGTAAGGAATTTTCGAAATTTGTAAAACCCTAATATAAGCCCTGAATTCATTTTTAAGCGAGTTTTGAAAAAGGTAAAAAAAACTTTTAAGTTAAATAGTACACAACTTTAATATGTCTTGAGCCTTGCTTATAATTATTTTACTAAAAGTTTGGTTACTGAAAAACATATGAGAAAGTCGATTGTCCCACTAACAGACCTCTCCTCTCCACCTATTAAAAAAATGTCTTGCAATTTATATTTTTTGAATTATCTGCTATTATTATTTGAATCTAAATGATTTAGCTAATTTACTTAACATTTAAAAACAAGGTAAACCTTTAAGAGCTTTCTAAAATTATTTAAGCTAATCGCCGGCTGATTATATTTATTTTCCGACAATAAATCGTCAAGAGCATTGTCAACTTCGCCTGTATCCATTAAATTCAATTTTGATATTTTCGGTTTTTCAGTCTTAGCTATCAATTAATTGCCATTTTCGTGGCATAGCAACAATGAAAAATCATAAAACTGACAAATAATTATAATTATAATAGGAAATACACGCAGCCCACGCCGCGTATACGTAATGCAATTGTGTCCAATAATAGTTTTCATTTAATTAACATTTAGCTCCAAAATGGATATGTTTTATGAATAATTTAAGCGGCAGTCAACCGGGAAAGTGGGCGTAATTATAATCGCCACTAGATCTCATCGATTTCCCCCCAAATAAGCCAAACATTTTGGTCGAAAAACGGATTCAGGAAATGAGAACTGGGTTGGACTTCTGCTGTTTGTTGTTTTAGGCCTCTGTTAATCTAATGCTGTTAGTCAATTTATATTCATTATAGTTCAACTTGTCCAAAACCGCAACAAAACAGGCGATAGATTTGAAGTTAGAATTTAAAATATTTTCATTAATTTAGTTTTTCACGCTTTCCCGTTTTGCGCATTTTTTTGCCACTTGATCAGAACGTATATCGACATTTAATTATAACTTATCTGTTATTTATTTATTTATTGGTTTCATTCGCTTATCTCTCACCCCTTTTGTGGCTTTTTGTAAATGTCAAGCCGCCAAGCCTTTTAAACTTAGATTTGCCTCATTAAAAAACTGAAAATATATATGTGTAGCTATGTATGTTCTGCGAAATCATCATAAATATACATTAAGCGATTATAGTTTGTTTTTTCCTGCCGGTCAATCCTACATACATGAACAGATAAATCTGGTGCGTTACACAAAGTGTTACGTCTATTATGCAATTAATTGCCGGATATTTAAATTCCACGCGCAACTTAACTCTATAAAGAAGTTAATGCAAGTGGTTTATGGATTCGTTGGATTTTGAAGCAGCAGTATTTCAAATGGTATCGGTTAGCAAGTCTCATTGGAAATTCAGTTTTTTTGGCTTAACCTTCACGGAAGACAGACAATTGTAAACAAATTAGTGAGCAGGTCTTTTAATGGTTCTCAACAAGTACGATAGTTAATTATTTATTTTCACTGTAGGTGGTAACAAATTAATTTATAAACTATTTGTCGAATTGGTTAATTTGATTGGATACCAATCTACAAATCTAAGAAGTTTACAATTTGTTTGTTTTTTTTATTTAGCGAGTTAAGCAAGTTTTCATTTTAAACTTCTGACGAAATAGAATTTTTAGTGTAAGATATGGCTCCTTCAGTGCGTTGCAACATCTGTCTGATATTATAATATCCTTAGCAAGGGTATAAATAAGATAAATAAATATTTTACGCAGAAAGATAGCGAGTATATTCGACGTTAAGGAACTCTAGTCGTTACTGGAATGGACAACTAAAATATACAGCTCATAAGAATAATCAAAAAATTATATATGTAAATTAATAAATCAAAATTATATTTTCGTAGTTCTTGGATTTAAATTTTCAATCAGGATTAAATTACTCACGAATTACATTTGATTTAGGTCATATATTTGCTTTATGATTATAAGTAAAGTCAACATAATTTTCCAATTTTGTGTTTTTTAAATAACGACATTTTATTAATTTCTTGAAATTTTGCAGGCCAGGGAAAGGAGAAGGAGGAGTTCCAGTGTCCCTCACACATTGCCAATGGCAACTACGCTGATCCGGCGACCTGTCGTCGTTTTTACCAGGTAAATTCAGCCACTTGTAATGGCACGAATATTTTCCCTCTCTCACACTTCATCTTACAGTGCGTCGATGGATTTCCGTATTTGAACCGCTGTCCATCCGGACTTTTCTTCGATGATCTGCAGAAGTACTGCACATTCAAGGATGAGGCCAAGTGCGGTCCTCTACCAACAAGTAAGTGATTAGGAAAGTCTCAAAATTCCAGGAAGAAAGTGCAACATAAATCAGGGCGAACAAAGAAAATGGGGTAAAAACTGTAAGTGCACTCTAAGTGTGGCCACCATTCCTTGGGCAGGTTTTTCCCTCCATCTGTCTGTCTGGCCTGCTAAACGATTTGAAGTTTTGAGAGGGACACAAAAACCCCAGACCAAAAGAACCGACGAGGAATATAAAAGCCGGGCTAAGCTTAGGGCATAGAATTTATTGGAAGCTTCAAATAGAATCTTGGCAGACTGAGCATGCAGAAAAAATATGGCCCACATATACAATATTATTGTGTCTCATTTTTATCGTTTATTTAAAAAAAAAAAGTCGCAGACCGTAAGCGTTATACACGGTTTTAAAAGCCGAATTAAAAAGTAAAAACAGTTTAATGTAGAATTCACTTGACTTCAGTATAATTTTTTAAGAGATTTCTACAAATTTACAGTTTTTCTCAGTAGACAGGCACACATAGACAAAAGGAGGACATTTCTCAGGCCGGATGTTGCACATTAGGAAGCAATTCCGAGTAAATGTCGCATAATTCATTTATGGTTGCAAAATTCGTGTGCATGTATTATTGTGTTTGTGCTGGCCAAAACCAAACTGAAACGTAACCAAAATCGAAATCGAAATATAGCCGATGACAAAAGCAATGAGCAAATGGTGGCCACCACTCCGGGGACACAATTCCAAACATTGTCCGCTCTATTGACTTGTCTAACGACGCTGCCCAAAGGGCCACCTTGCCGCAGGGTAAAGGGCGGTTGGGAAATGGGTTGGAAAGGGAGGGGAGTGGAGGGAAGGGGCGGAGGTTAAGCCATTGCCAAAATGAATGCCAAGTACTTTGGCACACCACCCGACCACCCACAACATTGAGTGCACTTCAAATGGGGCACAAACGCGACCGCTTAAGAATATCCAAGTCTATCTTTCGTTCTCCATTTATCTACACACTGTGGGTCAATAGAATGGTACTACAAATTTTAGACAATAATATTGTAAAGTACTTCATTTTATTTTGTGTGCGTTTTTTTAAGAAGATCTGTGGAAATAATTTAACCTTCTATCCCATTTTGGCCTCTTCATATTTTTATTTTATTCGTGGTCCCTCGAGAATAATTAATTTGCTGCCGCTAAATTATTTATCCACCACATATTAAGGAAAATATCGACATTTTTAAGGTTATAAGGCATTTAAGACAAGATCTGCCCATTTTCTTCAAAGTTTTCCATTTGATCAAAAGTATATTTTAGTCTAGGTGTGGGATATATCAAAGAATATCATATATTATTTCTAACTTTAATTTATTTTTAATAATTATTCCACCGAAATCACAAATGGGAGATCGTTTTATATTGTAAATGGCATAGGAGTCGTATTAGTGATCTTTTAGAAAGCTTTATGATCGGCCGCAAACCGTCTTTAAATTAATTTATTTGGCTTTCAAAAATACAATACTTTATTTAGTCTTCAATTCATATTAAGCCGTATACAGTTCTATATTCGTGACCACAGCTATATATGCGTGTGTGGGCCATTAAAGCTGACATTTACGATTTAGTTTTACGGCAGCCTCAGCTTCAGCCTCGGACTTTTGCATCGCTTCTGTGCGCATTTTCCTCTTTTTTTACATTTTTATTTTGCATACACTTTAGAATTTAATTTTGACTTACCGCAACAGCAAGTCCACTGATCTTATTGGTGTATTAAGCATTCTTCTTACTTGAAAATGTTGGTCAATAAGTTCAAAGGTGAATAAAAAGATTATGGTAAGTTTTAGGTATATATACATTCATCAATTTACAAAAGTTTCCAATAGTTGAGAGTACGGTATAATCGAGATCCTGGACAATCGGATACCCGTTACTCAGCTAAAGAGAGTGGTATAAAAACTGTATAACTTTAGATGATGTATAATAGAATATAATCTTAAGAGATTATGTACATTACTTTTAGCAAATGTAGGTCACGAAGAGAACAAAAATTCATCAGAAATCAAGCAGGCATGACACTGCATGCATTAACTTCATTTAATTTCGATTTCCAGCTGCAATGAAATATGTAGCTTTGTCTTTACATACAAGTTTTTTATATTGTTATTATTATACGGGTGTAATACAGAAATCTCTCTGGGTAGATTTTAAGTAAGCAATAATATTAGTTACAACCAAATTTCGTACAAAGAGAAATTGCTCTAATAATTTACTTAATAGACTAACTGGTAGCTGATTTCTTCTTGTTTAAGAAGCACCGACTCTTGCATTTTACCATGATTTGACTTATTTTCAGAAACTATAAAATGGTATTATTGTTAAATTTAAAACAAGAGAGAACGCTATAGTCGAACGCATCAGATACCCGTTACTCAGTTAAAGCGAGCGCGAGGGAGATGAAGATACGCAGTCGTCAGCGTCATCTAGTGACTGTTTAAATTTTTGCTCATAACTTTGATGTAGTGGCGGATCTAGGATTTTGTTGTGGGGGGTGATATTAGAACAATTTTTTTGTTGCATACTTTTGTAATACCAAAATTCCTTTAATTTTTCACCCGAGTGGAGGGTGATGTATCACCCATATCACCCCCTTGTGGATCCGCGCATGCTTTGATGGTTTGTCCGATTTAAAAATTCTTGAGTTCGTAAAGTTGTGACTGTCAGGCTTTTTTCAAAGTCCTCTAAGGCGATTGTGGGCGTTAGAGTAGGCGTGGCGCTCCGTTGAAACAAACTTGCACTGCAAGCCCAAGAATATGTGTGGGTAATCCCAACCGTATAGCTATTGTAGTTACCGAGATCTCATCGTTCATACGGACAGACAGTCAGACAGACATGGCTAGATCGACTCGACTAGTGATCCTGATCAAGAATATATATAAGGCGTGTTTTAAAACTATACGACACCAAGACATTTTTTTTAATTTTGTAGAATTGTTGTTGTTTATAAAAAGCGAAACATTTAAATGCAGATCGAAAGAACAATATATCATGTGTACAAAAAAAAAATTAGGGGTAAAATCCTTAAAAAGAGGATCAAGGACACATGATACATTGTTCTTTCGATCTGCATTTAAATGTTTCGCTTTTAATAAACAAGAACAATTATTTGAAAAGGCCTACTGAGATGTGTACAAATTTTAATAAACAATTTGACTGATTTTTAAACACTTTATAGGCATGGACAAATAATAGTTTATTGGTTTTCTATATTTGTAGACATCCATATACTCTGCGGACAAGAGTAAAACAAGTGTTATTTTTGTACTGTGTAAAATAAAAATCTTAAATAACTGTTATTTATGGTCTCTAGTTAAATGTGATACTTATGGATATTTCAATTTGACGATATTTTTAACGAACTTTTTCTCCGTTATACATCCCCAGTTAAGATGACAGATTATTTTTGTCAATCTTCTAAGTCAGTCTTAAAATGTTTTAGGATACGATAAGACATTGCTATAGTACTTTACTGTCGCAGTATTATATATATTATATTATATTATATATATTTTTGAACTCGTTCCGAATTGTGTTTTCCAAAAAGTTCCCCGACGTAGGGATTCTTAGCACAAGGACCTCAAAGTTCGAAAATACTGAAATTGGCCAACTTTCCGGAGGTCTCAGAGGCAAACGGATTCATGGTTTGTTTTGATGTTAAAGTTTTTTAAAAGTCACACTCTTTATCTTTCAAACCCCATACTTAGAATAATTTTAGGATATTTTTTTAAGGAAGAAACTAATTCTAGAAAACAGAGTCAAAAAACATAAAAGTATACAGCTGCGGTGAAAATATTAGTAGTGTTGCCGCCCTTAGTTTCAAAAGTTTTTTGTTGATAAAGATAAGGAGTGTATCTTTTAAAAAACTTTAACATCTCAAAAAAACCATGAATCCGTTTGGTCTCCTCCCGAAAGTTGGCCAATTCAGCATTTTTCGAGCTTTGAGGTCCTTGTGCTAAGAATCCATGCGTCGAGAAACTTTTTTGAAAACACAGTCTAACTTGGGAATTCGTAACGAACTCAAAAATATAGCATCCATCGAGGTAAATTTCAAAAGCATTCATTTTGTTGCACAGTGTAATGTATGCCACTGCTTGCATTTCTTACGTTTTCTAGAACCAAAGAACCAAAGGCGAGTTTCTAAAATTCCTGGTGAAGTTCTTTTGAGTGTAGGGGCTTGGAAAAGTTTGATAAGGGTTGGCAAGGAAAGGAAAGGGGGTGGAAACACACACACGCAGCCATATGCCGGGTGACATATCGCTCACATGCAAACACGCACTTTTGCAGTAGTCGCCATTCCGGTTGCAACTGCGACTAGGACTGCTTTTTTGGATACGGATACGGAAGAGAGCGCATAATGGCCGGGGGAGCATGGGTACGGGTTTTTGGGGTTTACGGGTACGGAAGCTGATCCCGGTCCGTCGGTTGACGGTCGTTGGTCGGAAGCCAACCGCTTGGAAGAAAGCTGCGACAGCTAAAGCGTTTGGGGATTTGCGTAATACCGACTTGAATGTTGTATCATATAAATAGCTCTCTGTGTGTGTGCCATTTATGTTATTACTTTTCTTCACACATACGCAGACGGGGAGTTCAAGGCGAAATATTGCAGCAGAGATTAGGTCAAAGCTCTGTGCATGAAAAGTTGCTCCCGCTTGTTTTCCGCTGACATATATATTCATACATACATATATAGTTATGCAATTTTTGCCCGGAAATTTGGCTGTTTTTCATTTAGTAAATTTACTTGAATTAAAAAAATGTTCATAATTATATTAAGCACATTTTCAAAAAGAATACAACTAACGTGGTCCAAGGGGCCAAAAATAAAAAAATTACAGTTATTTTTTGAGTTTTATTATAAAAATCAAAATCATTACGGATTTGTAAACTACAATGGCTAATAAAAATTGTGGTGTATTAAAAAAATTTTTAGGACCCTTCTAAGTGCGTGATTTTTTTTGTATAAAAAATTTACAATAACAGATATTTTCGGTCCCTTAATTAAACTTATGAAGTAAAATAAACATCGGTCAGAACGTATATCCACCGTGGAGTAAAAACTTAAAAGGTTACATCTATTGCGTGAAATGATAGCGTGAATTCGGCATCGTATAAACACAGTAATAGATAGATAGATACGTCTATGCTTTAGATTAAAAATTGCATATATTCGATCTAAATATTCTCCAATTTAATGTTTAGTCTCTTCTCTAAATATATACACTTTGCCGTTCATTATATGCCAGCTTTTTATGAATTTGTGAATGCATGTTTTTAAATATATGTAATTTAAAGCAATTTCATGGAAATGAGTGAAAAGAACTAACTGATTGCCTATAATCGTCGGGAGCTTTAATTTTGCAGCCATCTGCCAACTGCCTAAGCCATCCGAGGATTAAGAGCTCTGCCAGCCGAAAGACTTCCTCTCCGACATCCGTAGCTCCTCGGTACCCTGCTTTCCTCTCGAATACTTACTTGCCTCAAATCCCAACTGACGAATTGCGTATACGCAACGAGTTTCAACTGAATTTGAAATTGTGACAGCAACTTGTCCCCAAAATAAATAAGCAAAATGCGGCATGTGTGTGCCCTGAAATATATGCAATACATTGTGCATATAAATGCGAATTCATTTCATTTCATTTCGATTTGATTTGACCAAGGCGAGACACGAATTAAAATATTTAAGCCACTTTTTTAAGGGGAGTCGTATTTTGGCAAGGGTTAGAACGCTTGACAGGCAGCGTGTCCAAGGAAATGACAAGCTGATTTTCCACCTACATCCATACGCACACGCACACACCCACACATCACGCAGCTGAGCTGATAAAATGCAAAGAAAAATGTTTTGCACTGAATAGTTTTCAATTTCATAATTCAGTGAGCACGCTCAATGACAGCATTTCAATATTGCTTACACAACAACAAGAGCAGTAACACCCGCACACACGAACAACGAGAAAGGACTGGTAAAAATAGTAACAAAAACTTTAACGATAATACAGTAAACTCTTGAGAAAGTAGGCAGTCTCTTTAACAGTATCTGTGTATTTACATTACCACCTACCATTTAAATCATTTCGCTATGATATATTTCGTATAATATTTATATGTATGGGTTTGGTCATCTAGTTTTTATTTAATTTTTAAGAAAATATGGCCCAAGAAACAGAATCAGTCATATGGCATTTGAGGAATCGGGAAATATCCATCGATTATACAATTTTCCAATCATCATAAAATATATGCACCTAGATCAAAGACATATCCTATAGTTTTCATATGAAAGATTGGCTTAAACTGGAAAACGTATGCTGTTTTGAACGCATTTTGTCCTGTGCAAACCCTAAATCGTTTTTTTAATGCTAGCTTGGTCAGGGAAAAAATTCTTGCCGTTCGGTTAATTATATATTTACATTGCTGCCATAGGTAATGTTTAGATATTTCTACATTTCTAGACACAAATAACTTCTTGCCGTAGTGGCCTATCGTTCTCGCATTCTTTGGAGCAAAATAGTTATTTTAGTAAATTTAGATATATATTACATTATCTTAAATACTGTCTTGATTTGTATTAGTTCACTGTAACACCCGTTCACTGTACAACAAAAAACAAGGAACAGAAAAACAACAGCAGCTGCTGGATGGAGTGGCAGTAGCCGAATATTACGTATACGCATCGTGTGCGAAGATGTGAATCGTTGTCCGTCCACCGACGACAAAATGCATAAGACAAAGTTACTAAAAGTGTTTATTACATTTTATTCAATAACTCAGCACAAGTTTGGAGCGAGACGGAACTAGTCGGTGTGACAGAGTCAGACAGAGAGAGAGGGAGAGAGAGAGAGTGTAGGATTCTTGAAGTTTCTTTTTGAAATAATAAAATTTTATGCATTTACTTTCTGTTGGAAAAGCTGGACAGGATGGTTGGCAAAGAGTTTGGTTTTCCAGCCCCAGAGAATGTTGATTGCAGTCGTGTTCTCTGTGTGTCCTGCGTCCTGTGTGTCCTCTGTGTGTGTGTGAGTGTGTTTGTGTCCTGGCCAATTAATTGCCAAGCATTTCATTTTCATTGCCGTTATTTATGATGTGACCACAAATATTTTTCAAAAGGCATTGATATGCCACAAGCATTTATTTTGTTTTCCTTTCCGGTTTTACTTTTATTTATTTTGCCATTTTGCCCAGCAATCTGATCAGAAATGCTATGTTAATATTTTAATAACTCCTAAAAAACTTATTCATATATATCGTTTATTACTTTTTTACACCCATCCGTGGGAACAGATTGAAAAATGCAAAAGAAAGAAAGCCCTCCAAAAACTAAGGCAATGAACACTTAGGAGGACAGGTCGGGCCTTTATTTGCATGAAATTGAAGTTAAATAATTAAATCTCAGTTAAGCGTGGTTGAAATCGTAATCGAAAAGAAAACTTCAAGTTTCTCCACCCGCCACTTCTTCAGAAAAGAGGCTCAAGCTCTTGCCCAAACGTTCTTAAGGGAAAAATAAATAAATGGGAAATGGAAATAGAATTTATTTGATTGATGATGTGTCCCCGGGAATTAGGAGAAGCTACCATTTCACAATTTAGTTTCGATGACAACATTGTGAGGAGGAAGTTGACTTCTCTGAAAGCGGAAATCGGATAATCATATCGATTGATTAATTACCTTGAGATAAGAGCTTAACAGTACGAAAAAAGGAATCTTGAAAACAGTTAAAACCAACTTTTTTAAGTTATACCAAAACTTTTTAACATAAATCGGATAAATTGATTTTTGAATAAGTATTTTAAGTTTTTTAATTAGTTATTAGTTATTTCTATGAAATTTCTTTGAAATTAGTAATTATTAAATTGCAAGTAGATAATTAAATAATAAAACAAATATTTTTGGGGCTTCAACTGCACCACTGCAAGTGATTCATATTTGTGACACGTACAGGCTTTAACCTTCGGATGTTACTGGGGAATTCCCTTAGCCCCCGCACGGCAAAGTTCGAACGGAGCTCGAAATCAAATCAAATCAACGCCTCCGGGCACGACTTTCGATGGCGCATCCATATCCATGGCGAGTGCTAATTCGGTTAGTGCATCTGCCGGATGCTCCGGATATGCCTTTAATATTTGCCAAGGAACAGGGTTGCCGACTTGGCCTCACCTTTTGTTTTGCGAACTTTAAGCGAATTTGTTTACTCGATCGCAAAACAAAACAAAACAAAACAAGCCCGAACAACTGATTGCCACTGAGGATGGGGCTCTGTGGAGAAAAAAGCAATTGAATTCGATTGAGTTTCGGCTCGGCTCGCAATCACATCACATCCAGATCCCACGCCCAAACACCACCCACATATGCAAATAGCTTTTGAGAGCGGAGAGAGCTCGGATTTTGGCTTAAGGTTATTTGGCTTCGATCCCCCCACTGCCCCTCCCGTTGTTAACTTTCTTTTAACTCGTTTCTTGCACACACTCGCCTTGGATTGCCTGCTTATTGACATTTCGTCCGGCATTGTGCCGGCTGACTTGTTGACTCTCGACCTCCCGGCATCTGGGATTGGATCCCGCATAACGAAATAGATTTTAAATAATTTCCAAACTGATTTTCGCCCTTCCAGCACCCGCCCCTGCCACCGAGGCCCCGGCTGACACCGCCCAGCGGTGCAACACGGAGGAGTGCGCCCTGCCCTACTGCTTCTGCTCCAAGGACGGCACCCAGATTCCCGGCGACCTGGAGGCCGAAAAGGTAAGCAACACTGGGCGGTGGTTGGATATTCGGATTGTAGAATGGGCGGGGTACCCGGGAATACGTCGGTTTTGGTGGCCACTCAGGTGCTGCCAGGGTATTCAAAACGGGTGTATTTGTTGGGCTGTGCCTGGCGATCTTAACGTTTACACTCAACCATATTGCTCGTTGATACTATGTACAAGACACATATACAAAAAAAGAATTAAGTTTATTATGCGTTAGGAAACAAAAATAAATTTATATTTCACCCAGAAGACGACCAGAAAGACTTGTAAATATTTTCTTGTACTTAGAATATTTACTTAGCCCTGCTCATTAAGTAATTTTAGGTCCCATTTAATAATTTTCATAAGTAACATACCTACTAAATTATTTATTTGAAATTATTAATTACACTATGCAGCACCAAAAATTTACCTCGATGGATACTATATTTTTGGATTTGTTACGAATTCCAAAGTTAAACTGCGTTTTCCAAAAAGTTCCCCGACGCAAGGATTCTTAGCAAAAGGACCTCAAAGTTCAAAAAATTCCGAAATTGGCCAACTTTCCAAAGCTCTCAGAGGCAAACGGATTCATGGTTTGGTTAGATGCTAAAGTTTTATAAAAGATACACTCTTTATCTTTCAAACCCCATACTTAGAATAATTTTAGGATTTTTATTAAGGGAGAAACAAGTTTTAGAAAACATAGTCAAAAAACATAAAAGTTTACAGCTGCGGTCAAAATAGTAGTAGTGTTGCCGTCATGTGTTTTTAAAAGTTTTTTGTTGTCACTTTTCTTATCCAATTAGTCTAATAGTACAATTATAATCAATACAATATCACCAGAAGAAGATGAATTACAACAACAAACTTTTAAAAACACAGGGCGGCAACACTACTACTATTTTGACCGCAGCTGTACGTTTTTAAGTTTTTTGACTAAGTTTTCTGGAATCTATTTCTGCCTTAAAAAAATCCTAAAATTATTCTAAGTATGGGGTTTGAAAGATAAGGAAGGTATCTTTAAAAAAACTTTAGCATCGAATCAAACCATGAATCCGTTTGCCTCTGAGAGCTCCGGAAAGTTGGCCAATTTCGGAATTTTTCGAACTTTGAGGTTCTTTTGCTAAGAATCCTTGCGTCGGGGAACTTTTTTGAAAACGCAGTTTATCTTGGGAATTCGTAACGAATCCAAAAATATAGCATCCATCGAGGTAAATTTAAAAAGCACTAAAAATGCTGCACAGTGTTATTGATACCTAGCCTTTCTTTTAAACTATCGAAAAAATTAAATAAATTCATAGAATTTGTATGGATGAGCATCAAAAACTATGTTTCCCACTGTCTGTCCGTCCAGCTGTCCGTATAAACTTCTAGATATCGGGAGCAGCGAACGCATGCGATTTGTAATGGTGCAAACGTGCGTAAAATTGCATTATTTTAAGTTAAAAACATATTGTGCTAATACCCATTAAAATGCTAACATTTATTAACAAAACATCACCTTTGCCAAGTTAAATGCATTCAACAAACTTTCATCAATCAAACTTTTCCTGCACACATTTGCGAAACTTTCCCCATGCATAAATGCAGTTATCACACAAAATTAAACGCAAAACTGTGTAACTTCGGTAATTGTTCACAAAACACCAGTGTAATTTTTGCAGGACATCGTCCAGTCGAGTTTCGCTGAGATCGAACTCGGCTACTTGTTGGCTTCCCATTTTTCCATTTTGCATTTAAGTGTTAATTTGCAGGGCGATAAATTTCAAGTGCATTGACAGCTTTTATTTTTACGACACAGAACTGGGGCTATGGCAGCTGTGGATCGCAGCGCTTTGGATGAGATATATGTATATAGGTTTCACGAATCCAGTTCGCCTCTGGATTCCAGTTCTCAGTGTCCTGTGACCATAAATCTATGTATTTGCATTCGGTTTGCTCTTATCGTCGCTTTGCATAAGGAAATTGTGCTCTTGTACTTTTTGCCATCTGTTGTTTTTGCTGTTGGCCCTCCCTTATTGTTGTCAGTTATTGTATTTGTTGTTCTTGCTACTGGTGTTCCTGTTGATTCGAATATCCTGTTTAATAACTACGCTTTGTTTATTTGGCCAAGAGTTATGCGCTCATGGTGTAAATAGAATGGCAACAGCAAGCCGGAAAACTCATAAAATTGCTTTACAAAATGTATATATTTAAAGCTTTTACCTTAATACAGTTTTTACTTCGGCCAAGACTTTTGTATTTTTTTTTTTTTGTCGATTTGAATACATACGTAGTGAGCCGAAACCCATGAGCTTAAATTATTTGTTAAATATTTCCTTTGCTATATTTTTGCCTCTATTACAAATGTAAAAATCTGTTAATGCACATATGACCCCCTTTTGCCCTTTGACTTGTGGACTCTCTTCCTGCAAATTGACAGACAGTTTGCAGTGCACATTAGTTGTGGTTTCGCTTGCATAATAAGGAGAGATACAGAAAGCGGACGAATCTCAAATGCACTATGGAAAATATGCGCATTAAATAAAATTATTAATTAATGCTTTTAATGCTTCTTTATTTGAATTTCTATTAAAAGACCAAAATAAATATGTTAAATGTGTCATAAAATGTAAATAAAAATGTAAATAGAAATGTAAAACTTTTGAGTTAGTAAAATAAACCATTCTGAATATTAAATTATACGTATCGATGATTTAAAATATTTATGTAACATTTTTTAGCATAAGATTGCATTTTGTTGCATTCTGAAATAAATCGATAAGAAACCCCGTTTGCTCAGATTTTAAAAATCCTAATATATATCATTTTTCATACTACATATCCTCTCCATAAAGAGTATAAGTTGGTGGAAAAAATAAAAACCAACATATATAAGTTGAAAGCAAAGCGGATGTTTATGTGGCGGGGCACACATACAGACATATACGCAAATCGCAGACAAACAAACAAATCCGCACACACACACACACAATCTCGCGGATGCATCAACACAGACACAGGCACACGCACACGCAGACAGACAAATACACGCATTCAAATACAAACAAGACAAGTGAGCCACTTAATTTCGAAATTGAAATGTATGTTTGTCCTCGCTATCCGTTTTGTCCTGTTTGTGGGTGTATGCTTGTGTGTGTGTATTGGTCGTGTATTAGTATGTATGTACGTATGTATCTCTGTGTGGGCGGGCGAGTGTGTGAGTGTGTTTGTCGGTGCTTATTTAAGTGTTATTAGCGCTTACATCATGTAAGTTACATGTGTTCGCAGCAACGCAGCCCCCAAAATAATTCCATTTGCTAACTGAATCTTTATCTATATGTGAGCGTGTGCGCGTCGTTTGTGAGTGCGCGGGCATAATTATAATTAATATCATCTCAATTAACCGCAAACAAGCGGTTAATTTGTGCATGCCAAAAAGTTCCTTTTGATTTGGGTTCGCACATAACGCATACGCCGCGTGGGCCATAGTCCTCAGCCATGTACTCCCACTCCCCACTCCCCACTCCCCTAATCGTTCAGTTCACCTCTTTCGTACTTTTTACCCGGCTTTCAATTATCGTCTCACTCCATTTCACAATGTGCCACCAATTTCCGTAATGCAAACGGAAGTTTGGGCAGCCAAATTAGAAGCATTGAAGTACCCCGATTTAAACTAATTTATAGCGAATAATGGTAAGGCTGTTTCATATTTAGACTCTTAGTTGGGATCATCGATAGTTTTGGCTATCGATAGTGGCCACTATTACTATATCGATACTATCGGAAATTATAGAAAATAAACAAGATATTACAAAAACTTAAAATAAATGCAATTCAAAATGTATGCCACTTCTTAAGGAAACAAAATCTGTCTTCATTTTTATCGTGAAACTATATTGTTGAGCCCTAACGCTTAAAATACCGTCGAGATCTAAAAAAGTATACTGTAACATTTTTTTTTAATCTTAAAATATAAAAAAATTAGTATGTTAAATTAAATTATATAGCTGGGCGATACTCGATATTTCGCCCGAGCCATCGATGTTTCCAAAAATTTAAAACCATCGGTAGTATCAATAGTGCTATTGATCGTTTTACCAACTTTTAAACTCCTTTCATATCACAAATTAACAGGATATTGAAACGAAATTCATTCTTTCAATACAAAGTACAGTCTTCGTTTGATATAAACGAAAATCCAATAGCACTTTTAGCCATGAACTTTGTGCAGTAAATTAATAAATGGCAGTACACCCTGAGAAATGTGGGACTATTTTTTAGGTAACGTATGACCTAAAAAATTTAAATAGACTAAAATTTCAGATTTAGGTTATGGGTTACCTGAAAATATTAGCATGTGGACTATGTTCCTAATTTTTAGGTAAAGCTACAAAGATTTTTATAGGCCATCGTAACCTTAAAATTGGTCCATAAGACCTAAAATTTAGGAATAGTTTGAAATAGATTTTTACTCACAATTTAATACAAATAATGGTTTTTAATAATATAATTTTAACTTTTTTGAAAATACCTAATATTTTGGTAATTCTGACCTAAAAATTTAGTCCACTAGTCATTTTTTAGGTAACGATTACCAAAAATAAATCTAGGACTGCGTACAAAATATAGTCCACATGACCAACATTTTAGGTAATGCATGGCCTTGGCGCCTTTTTCTGGCCATGTTTCCGAAAATTTTAGGTAATTAGGCCCCTTTTAGTCCATTTTGTTTTCTGGGTGTACACTTAAACCTCTAAGATGTGTACATAAATTAATGAATTGAAAAGGCTCAACAATTTATGTTTTTCCAAGGGCTTAGCCACTGAGTTAATAACAATTGCAGTGAAGCTTAACAGATTTATAAGGCAAAAAGCCATTTCATTTTCCTGTAAATCAAGGTGTTGGCATGGGCCGGAGCAAAGGTTGAAAATCGGGCAAAGGCGTTAAATAAACCGCTTTTGCTCAATTTGAATGCGAATTGAATTTGATTTGGGAAAATGAAATGAAAAGATGGCACAGTGTCAACAAAAAGTTTGTGGATGCCCCGATGGCTGGATAAGTGGTGAGTAGTGAGTGAAGCTGATGGCGAACGGATAATGGCAAATGGGTGGTGCAATCAATGAGCCGCTCAATTGTCGCTGCGATTGAGCAACTGAGCTATGCAAATTTGCAAGGCTCCCCCGCCCCATCCCCATCCCCTCCCAAATAGTTCGCAATCCTCGGTGACGGAGGAAACTTCTGGCCCCGACTCTCCCGCCCACTCCTCGCCATCATCCCTGCGTTTTCCCACCCTCGGGGTAGGTGCTCCTGCTCCCCAACACTTCGACTGCCATATTTGCTGAAAGACTAAAGTGCAAACTTGAGTCGCATTAGGCAAAAATTATCAACGCACACAGAAGTGCAAAGGGAAATATTCCGGCACGTTCGTCTACTATTTGCCCTGGCCACATAGTCCCAGATATCCAAACTTTAAGATATCCGAAAAAGAGAGTACAAACCGTTTAAGCGAAAATTTAAAATAATTTGGCAATAGCTGAATATGGGGTTGGTAGTTTGGACTATCGATAGTTTTGCCCATCAACATTGGCCATCATCAAAAATAACGATACTATCGAAAATTATTTAAAATCGGAGAATATTTAATGACACTTTAAAGCCAAGTAGTTAACCCTTCTGTTTTATTTTAATGGAAGCTTAACAACAAAATTGAATACCTCTTAAAATGTAATAACTTTTGATTGATTTCGGGTTCGATTTCGTTGATTTGGTACCGGTCGGATTTTGTTATATCCTCTTTACAGGTCTCTCGGTCTCCCAGTTTCTAGCGAGAGCCTTTCTTCTTTCACAAAATTTTTTTTGACTGTTGTCTTACCACATTTTAGTCAGATTCCTTATACACCGAAAATTAGGAATTTAACGAAGAGCCACCCAAATTGATTGGCCGGAATTTCGATGTGGGATTGCATGACATTCCCAAGTTAGAGAACTTGAAATGCAATAGCGTTCGGGACGATAGGCAATCGGCGATTCAGCAATATGGCAATCGCATAATGTTCAAACAGCCCACAATGGCTGTCACGCTTTTTCCCTCACCTTTTCTACGAAAACTTGGTCTGAGCTGGAAATTTATAAATTGCTTTAGCTCCATTTCTCGCCCTCCTTGCGCGCCTCACATTCATTATATTTGCAATAATATTTTTACTTCATAATTCAGCAGAAAGGGGAAAAGTTTTGCAGTTGATTTGCACTCATTTTGCGGAAACTCGCATTTGAAATATGCCTTTCAATAAAGCCGGCCACCGAGCAAAAGGCAATAAGGCGAAATGGAAAGATAGAGGAAAAGTGCGAAAGTGGGAAAAAAGAGGGAGGAATATGAAAAGCTGTCAAATCGAAGCGCGAATTTCAATTTCAATTCAATGCCGACTTGTCATCTAAGCCGCACTTAAACTGACCGCCGAGTGTTTCACGCCCCTGCATAATTTTGCCAGCTCAGTTTGGCTGGATGCTGGTATCATCATCGCCATCGTCATCGTCATCGCCTAGTCATCTTCTTCCTTCCACCGCATTAATATTGAATTTGTACAATAATCCTTTTTATGTGTCCTACAATGAGCGCTAAGTGCGTTCCTGCTGCCGTGCCAACCGCCTTTATGGCCAGATCTCGGACCAAATGCGAAATGCATTTCCGATTTTGCTGCAGCTACCACACAGAAAAAAATTCATATAAATTTGATATGAATATAGATTGGTTTATCTTATTTTATAATATTTTTTTAACTTTTAGGAAATAACTGATTACTAAGTTGATGTGTTTGAATCATAAATTTGACATTAACCGTATCGCCTTTTTATTGATATAGTGATAAGGTAGAAATGACCATATTTCATATCGAATTTTTTCTGTGCATTTTACTTTCCCTTCTCTTTTTCCTGACCCTCCAGACTCAAGTTTTCTTGGGAGGTATGGTGCTTTCATAATAGACTTTGAATTTACATTTTAGATGTGCTTTAAAAGAAGACGATATAGATTGCATTATCGGCTCGTCTTTGTCTGTTAGCCCAAAACTGTTGTGACTCTAAGAAATGAAAGAGTAGAAAGCAATTAATTCTGAGATAACAATAATGCCTGGACCGTCAATTTAATAGATAAAACGTTGAATAAATTTTAATTAGCAGAAAATTCCCTAAAAGGGCCAATTACTTTTTAGGGTATCCACAAGCTTTAAGAAGATTTTTCCAATGCTGTTTTACCCTGTTTTTGTAGGGCGTCATTTCTATAGCATTATTATTACTTTCCCTCGTCCATTCTTTTTCGACTGCACTCGGCGGTCTTTGATTATGGAATTGCACTTAAAGTGTTGCAAGAGCAACAAAAACATCAAAAGCTACAACTGCAGGGTTTTCTTTGGGGTTGGGTTTGGCTTTGGGCTTGGTTTGGGGTTCGGCTTTGGCTTTAGCTGATTCCCATTTCGTTGTCCATATTTTTGGGTGGCAATTTTGTAATGGAATTCGCAGTGCGGATGTTGCTCCTGGGTGTTATTGATAGTCGGGCATTATTTGAAATTAATTTGGTTTCGTGAATTGGTTGCCAGTTGCCATTTGCCGGTTGCAAGCTGCAAGTTGCAAGTAGCTAGTTGCTAGTTGCTCTCACTCCGCCGGTTGCCCACATGCCCACTAATTATGTTTAATGCTCAAGCTGCGAGTTGTGCCAAGCCGAAAGTGGGGCTTAGTGGGTGGTTTTGGGTGGCTGGGTGGCTGGGTGGCTGGAGGTGGTTGGGAAATGCGCAACCAGGCGCAACGCAGACAGGAAAAACAAACGCAAAATGCAAAACCTTCAATTAGAGCTGCTGCTGCGGCTTCCAATGCCATCGCATGCCCGGCTGATTTTGAGGTCGGCAATCCTCTAATTGGGCACAAACGCCCACCCACTCAAATATGGCCCCTCCTCACACCAACCTTGCTCCCAGACTCATGTGGCTTCAAGTGCTTATATTTATTTGGAGACAGAGGCAGTGTCAAATCGCATAATTAAGAGATTTGCCTTTGGGTTAAAGATTCACTCACATGTGGTTCGGAAAAGCAGACATATTTATTAAGGCAGAAAATCACTAAAATTAGCGACACTAAGTTTTTTTTTACCCTTGCAGAGGGTATTATGATTTCAGTCCGAAGTTTGCAACGCAGTGAAGGAGACGTTTTCGTTTAAAGTATATATATATATTTAAAAAAAATTATATCTTGGGTGTTTTTAACCTAGAACCTCCTATAACCTAGCCCGATCGGACAACTCCAATAGGAATAATCGGGGAACAAAATTTTAAAAAAATTATATCTTGGGTGTTATTGAACGTCTCCTTCACTGTGTTGCAAACATCTGACTGAAATTATTATACCCTCTGCAAGGGTATAAAAAATGTATCTAAAAAAATTAATTTCTTTCTGCCATGAACTACCATCCTATTTCTTGGTGTATTTACAAAATAATATTTTGCAAACTAATCAAAAGAGGCTGGTTTAAAAAATGTAAATTTATAATTATTATTTATAGTTTGTATTTGTTTAACTTTTAAATAAAAAAAAACCTTTAAAATACCTTAAAATAAATTTGCAATTATGATAATTAATTATGCATCCCTTCCTGTTTGCAGATCCCCCAAATCATTATGCTCACCTTCGATGGGGCGGTGAATCTGAATAACTACCAGCATTACCAGAAGATTTTCGACGGCAAGCGCAAGAATCCCAACGGCTGTCTGATTCGGGGCACCTTCTTCATGTCCCACGAGTACAGGTGAGTTGTCAGCTCAGGTGGCAAATTGTAGTTTAATAAGCCAGCTGGCTGAGCTGACACTTGACAATTGATGTGTGCTGTTGCTTCTGTTGCTTCTGTTGCTGCTGCCGCTTCTCGTTTTACTGGGGTGGCAGCCATTTTCCAAATGCACATTATTTTGGCATTACAATATTACGCATACGCCGGGTATGCAGGCAGCGACCGAATGCGTCTCCTCGAGCTGTTTTCAAAGTTCTCGGGGCCAGAAAGTCAAGTGAGTCGAGTGAGAGTCTCTGTTTGGCAGACAAAGTTTTTGTTCAAAATACTTGTCACATACTTGCCATGCCCCACCCGCCCACACCCACTCTCGCACACATAGCACACACACGCACACGCTTGTCAGTCAAGTCAGTGGGGTCCGCTCTGCTCTACTAATTGTTGTTGATAAATTGGGGCTGACAAAGTTATGTCAACTGCAAAATGAATTTTCGCCAAAATATATGAACTACATTTTGACAGACTTATAAAAACGACAGACACACACACACTCGCACAGGCAACAAAGTAAAAGACCAACAACAAAATGAAGTGAAAGAAAATGATGGAGGAAAAGCAGCAGTTGCAAAAGTACATGTGTACATACAGTTGAGGTCATAACTATAGTCGTAAATATGGTTTAAGTAATGGCTATGAAACGAACAAGTTTGGATTTGTTAGTATTTGAATAAGTTCCATTTAAGCTCAATAACAAACCTCATTAATATCTTATATTATTATTAGTAATGGAAAGTATTAAAAATGGCTTTAAGTATTGAAATACTTTATCCTTTTAATTAACAATGCCAATTACTCTACGTCATAGTCATATTATGTATTTAAAATACATTTCAAAAAATTATATTATTATTTTGGGTTAAAAAAAAGCAGATCTATTTCTTCTTTCATATGCACCTTACTAGAAGCCAGCAAATCTATAATTTTTTTTATATATACACAACGGCAATCGTAGATAAGAAAGATACAGTAGTATCCCAGAAGAAGCGCTTTTGCTTCAGCATGCAAGCCCAAAAGTTAAGAATGTTGAACGATGGAACAAATCAATGGGAAATTGAAGCTCTAATTTTTGGAAAAACATTCTAAATGAAATAAAGTTCTTTCGCTTTACATTCTGTTATTTGTTCGAACGAAATAATTTCTTCAAAAAGTAAAGGAAAGCTGGAGGATATTTGGTTGGCATGTGAATGCTATTTCTTCAGCTTAATTTAAATGAATTAACCTAGATTCGTGAATGAATTTTAAATTCAGTTCAAATCAGAGCAACAAATTTTTAGATGATTTCATAAAAGGACAAGGTTTTATTTGCCGCACTTTATTAAATTTAGTTGCAGTTTTATTACTTAGTAGAAAGTTTTTTCCAACCAATTATGTTAATTCAAACCCCAAACCGTAAAACCCTAAGTTTTATTTTCCTAATTGCCGAAATCGCGTTCTGCTTCCATAGTGCAGAATTCCGGGAGTTGGCGAAAAAAGAAAAACTAAGTGAGCAGCGACAGTCAAAAAATTTGCGAGCCGAGCGTGAACGGCAAAAATCTTGAGTGAAGTTTAAAAGCTTTTTTCTACTTTGGCCGCAACACAGGGAGGGTAGACTTCGAGGGAAGCCCAGAATTCAAGGAAAACCTGGAGGAGGCGATGGGAAGAGGGGAAGAGGGGCAGTTTTGAAGTTGAATTGAAATGCGCTGAATGGCAGTAATTGCCTGAATATGTTACACATGCACACACATGAATGCGCTAATCGGACGACTGACTATGTGCGTACGTGTATATATCCGTATAGTATATAAGCAGACTACAGAATACTTTCCTTTTTTCGGGCGAATCATTTTCCTGCCACTGCCACCGAGGGAAATGGAGGAATGGAGACACACTTTTCATCTTTTTCATCTTTTTCCCCCAGCAGCAGCCCATAAATAGTGGTAAACTGCAACTGCCTGCAACTTGCGACTTTCCACACAAGAACAGGCCAAAAGAATCTGCCTGCTCTGCAGTGCGGAAATGATTTAATGTGCTCGGCAACTCTTCAGCTTTTAGCTTATTTTGTTAAGATTTTTATTTTCCATTTTCCGTTCGCCTCGCTGACTGCCGCAAAGTATGCAGCGAATTTTCCTTTTTTGTTTACGTCCGCCGAGGCAATTAGTTTTGTCAGTTTCCCCAGGAATCGAGTTTTTCGGCGGAGAAAAATGCATATCCTCTGTCATCGGGCTGTGCGGTTCCTTTGGCCAGACCCCTACACATGAATCATATTTTTCCACAGATTTTTTGCGTGCGATTTTGCGGTCAGCAATTGATTTAATTTCGGGGAGAGTGCAGGCACCGAGATGTGACACTCCACTCCACTCGCACGTCAAATTTTATGTCCGCCAATTAAAGCAAATGTGCGAATTGTTCTTTGATATATGATGCGATTGTTTCTAAAATTAAGTTATTTTAAATTTCAATTTTTAAGGCCTGACGATTGAATCGAATTTCTAGTAAATGAAAGGAACACTAAATTAAATGTAATCATATAGATACATAAATAGAAATGCATAATAAGGAGAAAGAAAATTCAAGCAGCGTCGAGGAGACACCAACGAATTCTGTCGAAATGTACAATATTTATTGCTATGCTTGAGGCAATCCCAATATTTTATTTGCATTCTTTCTATTTACTTAAAGTGCCTGCCACAGCACCAGAGCATTGTGATTCACTTCCTAATTGCCCGACATCGCCATCGACGAAGGGCAAACGCTGCGCTCAGGACCCAGGATTTGGTTCTTCGGTCCTCCAAATCTTCGGTCTTCAAAGAGCTTGTGGCCCAGCTGCTTAGAATATTCATTTCAATTGACATTGCCAGCACGTTCGCCACGGCAACTGGGAACTGTTAACTGCTAACTGGGAACTATGAGTACAGAGCGAAAAAGTACCCTATTTTGGCTATTGGATATTGAAATTGGATTAAGGATCTATTGTAAAAATTGATGTATTACAGTTGGTTTCAAGTACCAACTTTAGCAAGAAATATTAGTTATTTGCAATAGTTTTTCAGAACAACTTCATACACAGAGCATTTTTAAAAATAACACAAAGCACTAGGGTTGCTAAAACAAATCGATAGCGATACCATCAATGGTTTTAAAATTAAGGAAACATCGATGGTTTGAGCCCAAAATCGATTCTATCAAAATGTATTTTGAAGTATATATTGTAGAACAAGACGGTATTTAAAGGATTAAGGCTAAATATCATATTTTTTTCACTTCAATCGAAGTAAAATTTGTATCGTTTTTTCCTTTTAAGTTTTATAATACAAACATGAATTTTCAAATATCGATAGCCAAAATCATCGATATTAAACACTATCGAGGTTTTGGCAACCCTACAAAGAACTTCCGAGTTTTTCGCAGGAAAATATGGTATTTTCTCTCAGTGCAGCAACTACTAACTGGGAATGGCTGGCGAGCTGGTTAGCTTTTCGCAGAAGAGTTTTGGGAGCTTTTGGGGGGAACTCGCTGCTCAATGCTCACAGCTCAGTGCTCAGTGCTCAGTGTTTGCTATTTATACGCCGAAATGTCACTGATAACGAACTTTCTTGCCATCGAATGCTGCTCCTTCTGCTGCGGCTAAGAAAACAATCAGACAATTGCCACAGGACTTTGCACACTTTTCCGACTGCAGGCTAACGCAGACGCACACACAGACACACTCGCACATACACACACACATGAGGGGCTGAGACAATAGTTGTTCATTTGTATTTGGCTTTGGCAAACTGCAAAAACCAAGGAAAAAATTAAGAACAATGTTGAAGGAAAGTTTTTGCGCAGCATTTTAATTGCACGCAAAAAGTTTTAACTAACTAACAAGCCGAAAACTAGGCAACACCTCACTGAACGCACACACACACACACACACGCACACGTACAGAAGCACAAAGAAAGAGGTGGAAGCTTGAGGGGTCATAGAAAGAGATGGGGAGGGGGGAATATGGAGTGGCAAAGGCCAGACTAAAGCCAACTAAACAAAAGCGACTTGGGGTCGAAATCTAATTTTCAAACATTTACGTTTTAATTTTCCTTGTTAACAATACACTAACAGTTCCCAATGCACTGCGAAAATTAATTGAACTCATAGAAGAATTTTTTGACGAAATATGCAAGTCCTAAGAAGCCGAGGCTGACTTTCAAGGTTGTAGGAATATTATCGGCAGAACTAAGAGAAAATAATACCTAATAAATATATTGAAGGTGGATTCAGCCTTGGGCTCCGTCTTATTGCCCACAAAATCGAAGCCAAGATTTGGCATCCACAAATAACAAATAATTTGTAAATTAATTGTTATATATTATATATTGTGTAAAATAAATACAGACACTAAATCCTCTAACACAATTTCACAGCAATTTTTCGCTGTGTGCCAGGGCCTACTGAATAAACATGAGCGAGACTCTTCCCGCAGAAACCAGAAGATTGAAATCGAGTCCGCGTTATGTTCAGTCATAGCTGAGGGATAAACTTTTATTGCCGGCCCAGTGGGCGTGGCCACCTGGCAGCAGCCCAGCCAACTTCCAGCAGCAGCTGGTTTAACTATGTAATTATTTATTTTAAATCGTTTTCCCTCTCATCTTTCTCCACCAGCAGAATAGAGAATTGGCCGGGAAAACTGACGGGAGAAGCGGGAAAAGGCAGTCAAGTGTTCGGACACGAAGGGCGTGGCCATTAGATGGAGTTAAAATTCTATTCAGTTACCTAGAGCTGACATTAAGACTGGGGCAGGAGATTGGCCAATTGAGACATGATGTGGCGTCATTAAATCTTTGAAAACAATTCATGCAATAAAATAAAAGGTACAATCGAAGTATGTCAAATAAGAATATATGTTTGAATTGCTTAAATGAAATGTATATGCAGTGAAATGAGGTTTATTTTTTTGAGTATTTTTAATAGATACAAATTTATTCCAAGCCAACACTTCTGGAAGATA